CGAAACAACTTCGACAAAATATGATTGTCTAAGTTATAACTTCGACAAAATTTTTGTCGAAGTTATAACGTCGACGATCATTTTTGTCGAAGTTATAACTTCGGCAACCGGTGTAACTTCGGCACGACATACAGTATGTAAAAAAATTATTTGCACACTTCGTTATATATTCTTTGTAAAGTAATTTTCACCATGAAGACAAAACATTTTATTAACTCTGATCACATCATTAGATAGCCTGAAATCTCTAGTTTATTTGGGGTGTGGGTGTGGGTGTGGGTGTGGGTGTGGGTGTGGGTGTGGGTGTGGGTGTGGGTGTGGGTGTGGGGTGTGAGTGTGGGTGTGGAGTGTGGGTGTGGGGTGTGGGTGTGCGTGGCACGATATTTCCGCGCGTGGCATTCGCCGACATTACTGCGCCGATATTACCGCGCACGACGCTACCGCGCACGACACTACCGCGCATTGACACTACCGCGCATTGACATTATCGCGCACCACACTACAGCGGACGACATATACGCGAAATGTTTTTTAAAGTAAGTATTTTCGTTTAAATCTTTCAAAACTTGCGCAAAAATTTATTTACCGTCTAATACTTCTGATGAATTTTCTTTTATGCGAGCGAATTCTTCAATAACATTTTGTGATGGAATAAATGCAAGAGCAGCTAAATTTTTCATTGTTCGACGACTAACATCATTTTCAAGGAATTCTTTTTTCAAATGTAGTTCCTGCAAAGAAATCAAAACATTTATGAACTGTAAGGAAAACTTATATAACTCATTATGAACCAAATAAACTTACACAAATATGTCTCCAGATACATTGTTTGAAATGAAAAAAACACCCAAATATTTCACATTCGAGATATATAACACCAAATGAATTTTCAGCTGCTTTTTCAAAATCGATTAAAAGGTATTTTGGTTGACGTGTAACATGTTGTTTGTCAATTTTGAATAATTCTTCATAAGCTTTTTCATCTTTGTTAAGTAAAAGTGAGTAAACTAATGGTAAGCTTTTTCCACGTATTGAACCATGTATAGAGTACATTTGTTCAAACATTTTAGGAGCAACCTAGAAATGAAAGATTTCGTTTGAAATTTTGGATATATTTCAATTACTTACAGCAAATGTACCATCACAATGCCAACTTTCACATTGATTTAAAAAATCCAATTGT